GTTTGTCTGGCATTAAAAAAAACCTTTTGTGAGTGTGTAACCATCTGTATCTACATGTACATCAGCATTGTCTAACCCTTTTAGCCTACAGTCCAAACATTTTTTAAATGTCAGACAGCCACAGTCAATATACCAGGGCAATTAATTTGCCCTGTTCTCCTTCCTTTGCATTCAGATGGCACAAAGAAAATGGAACTGTCTACATCTCTTGGCCAGTGAGGCTGATGTAAAGCTGTTCTCATGTCTCCCTTCCTACAGCCCTGAACACAGACGGCACACTGAGTATAGGGAGGGAAAATGGCTGGGCTTCTGTCTCCAGCTGGTGTTTGCTTCTTGGGAAATCACAGGGATTGAGACRCTCTCAGACAATCCTCAGGCGGTGTTTTTGTCAAATGTAAAGGTAGTTTCAAAGATCTTCAGGCTCCTTAAGGTAGGATTCACATGTTCAGGTCCAGACTCCTAGATGAGTTCTTGTTATTGTATTGTCTTTAACAAAAGGCCAATATAGTAATTAATAATAAGAATACCGTTTCAAAAGCAAGAGCTAATTTGCCTGGCAAATGTTAGGAAATGCAATCTTCTGGAGTATGTTTATGTGTATCACTACTAAAGGTGTGGCCTCAGTCAAATGCATCTGGAACAGTATTCTCCTACAACATTTTAAGAAAATATACAAGAATATGCAGTAAGCCTAAAATCATATAACAAAGAAGGCTAGATTTAATACAGGAAGCTGGAGTCTTCTCAGATCTGAACAAGTTTCTGTTTCAGATGACTGATCACTTAGTTTTATACCTCAACAATAGTGTTGTCTTCTAATACCAGGTCTTGTCTTAGAGAATATCCCCAGAATTCTAGGATTTTTTATTCTTTTGCATGGATTTTTCTTGGTTTTTAATACAGAAATAATTTTTTGGTCTTTTCCTTACAAAAAAAATTAACTTGTGCTTTAATTTCCAGCTGTATCATATATATTATCTTTTATTCTGAGTAGGAAACTATTTCATTTTCTAGGTATAGGCAATATTTCTTCCTGACAGACACTGGGGGGCTTTTTTTTTCCCTGAAAAAAGTCCTTTACTGATCTTGTTTAAGTATGTCTAATCCCAAATAAAAGAGGAGACGGTATTTCACTCCCTAAACAGTCTACAACTGCTGTGATTTTTTTGTGTAATCTGTCCCCAAGCAAGCTTAAATCTCTCACAGTCTCCTTGAAGGAAAAAAAATGCAGAGGGTATGGAAAGGATATTCAAAAAACTCTCTGTTAGTTGTATTTTTTTCCTGGTATGTCTTACCAAAAAAAAGTGCTTCCTGGTATGATTAAAAATAGGGCATCTTTTAATTGTATTAAGAAAATTAACATTTCAGATCCAGTTTATGGCATTTTCTTACCYGATTTCTTGCTTCCAAACCTTTAATCTGTAAACAGAATTTTGTACCAGATATATTCTTTAATTATAGTTCTTTATTTCTGCTTTAGACTGAAGGTCTCAAATTGTATAAACATAYACAAATCACGCCTTTTCCCTATCAATCCTGTTTCTTTCCTTCAGCATTTTGAATTCCTTGATAGATTTYATTTGAAACCTTTCATTTAGGAAGCCAGAATGATCCAGGCTAGATCCCACTGCTAGTGCTGACATTTTAGGGGGGTGTGTGTGTCCCACTGCATGGATGCAGGATCTCTTTCAGGTAACATCATCAGCCAGCAAACAGTGCCTTTGCTGGGATGACAGCTTGTACATTTTCAGTGATTTTTATCTGCGGATTTGGAATTGCTTTGCAGAAATAGAGTATGATTGCCTCCTTATTTGTCTCTGTTCCTATACTTTTATCTATGTGTGTGCCTATAGAGAGAGAGCCCTAATACCCGTAGAGATTACATCAAGTACAGCCAAGATCAKGCATGAGGAAGTGGAGAACAGCAACAAAATCTGGCTTCGTGATATTYCTGTCATAATTCAATCTGAACATTTCCCAAATACTTAGTAAAGAGGCAGAGAAAAATATTTTTCTTCCTTTCCTGTAATCTTAGCAAAAGAATAGCTTGGTTAGTTTCTACAGACCTCTTATAAGTGAAAGTGAGTTGTTGGGTTTGGAAATGCTAAGGATAGTAAATCAAAGAGGGTTTTGCCTGTCACTCTGAAAATTGTGAAATTGATTAACTGTCTTAATGCTTGCAAACCTGAATTTACAAGCATAGATCTAAATGTTCTCCAAAGGTTAATKGTCAAGCCTTTATTAGATTTTCTATATTCTGGTTTGAAAGTTAGATTGCAAAAAGGCAACTCACAGCTGGTTTGCTACAGTCTTTTAGTGCAGAGAGGGTTATCAAGTCTTTAAAAGGACTTCAGTGTCTGAAGAGAAGCCAAAGCATGGGACWAATGCTGGGGTGGTATGTCCACCATTGTCTTTGTTGTTAGATTTCCTTCCTATAAATCAGGAAGTGGTTAGTTCTGTATAAAGAGTATTAAAGCTCTGCACAGACAGGTCAGCTCAAGAGGTGAAAAAAAAACTTTCTCTAACATTTCCTTCAGTGTTTCAATCTACTACTTTGTGTGCCATGAAACGTACACTTTTCCATTTGGAGGGGGAATAGCTGCATTCCTGAGGTCTCCCCTCTTTATTACATTTTCACTTCTATTTGTCGTGGATTAACACTATTAAAGTTGAGTTGTCAAAAAGCCTTGAGAGATTCCCTTTTTCTATAGTAAAGCACATTATAAAATGAGGGATAAACCCTGATAAGGTTCCTGGATGCTGTTGTAACACGATAACAAATTTGGCCATTGGCCTTCAACGTGGGTGTTTTAGAGAGTGTGGATAAAGTGGGCTGTCTTAAAGAAAGTGCTCTCAGTTCCTAGCCTTTTCCCCATCTTATAAATTTATGGTTTACCTCTCCTTTTTGTTACTTGGAAACTTAGAGCTTTATTTTTTTTAACTACTATAGCATGAGAGTATTCCCAGTGTAATTATTTCTTGATCATAGAGCATATCTAGTATTGGAATCCTGTTCCTGTACTTGAATTCTGACTCTCTACAAAGTCCCCAGCCAAGATCCCACTGACTTTGGGAGAGCAGGAATTGCATTCCTGTGCTTGTTTTTCCTAATATCTGGATACATTCTGAGGACTTTGCAGCTGAAACTCATTGCACTGTGATCCAGAAGATACAAARGCAAGTATCCCTAGTGGTGTCTTGACATTTATGTATCAAGTTTTACTTCCTAACCAGAAAGTTATTTTTAATAACTTTTAATAACTTTCACTTTAAAAAAACCTCATTAGGATTTTTAACTCTCACATCTGGGAATACGAGTGACCTAGAATGCTGATGCGATGATTCATAGTATTTTAATTTTTGTAATGTGGGAAACTATCACATAAATTTTAAATTGTACTTTACAGCTACTGCTCCAAGTAGTATTTGATACGGCAAGAAATCTTCCCACTCTGACTTGCCAGGAGCAAGCCTAGAAGTTGAAATGAACTTCAATTAAAAGAGGGTGCAGAAGCAAGAACACACTGAAAATGCCACAGCCAAGCCATTCACTGTCTGCTCTGCCTTTGCTGCCCCTTTCAGGAGGCTGATGTGTGCAGCTTGGTGGACTCCTTCCTTATCATGTGGAAATGATTGACCTTGTRCTTTCCTGCCTTTATTGGGTATGGCTGGAGGGCAGGTCACCAAGGCTTTTGTGCTTAAGGACATGCAATATTCAGAGAAGGTGGAAGAATCTGTTTCTATGTTGCCACCTGTGGCTAACGACCAGTAAAGCAAATGACTGAGAGTTTGCTCCCCAAGATAAATAGCTCAAGACTTAAGACCTTAAGTATGTTGCAAAATATGTCCATCTTTCATAGATAAAAATCCAAGAAAACATACGTTGCCTCTTCTCCCTGCATCCCAGTTTCAGGCATATTTCTGTAAGTGACCTAATTTTCAGCAACTCTCCTCCTCCAGACCAGACATTACACGGGTTAGAAACTTCAGTCAAAGATATTGTTCTGCAGTCTTGGCTGTGAGTCCCAGCCAAGAACAAAGCACACATCCCAGATACCATCTACTCCATTCCTCAAAATGMAGCCAAATGGCCCTAGTCAGTCTCTGCTGGGCTCTCTCCATGCCTGGTCTACATGCCAGGTCCATGCTGTTCTCTCCCTCTGCATCTTGACCTCCTTTMCCAAGACCAGGGGAAACTCTTGGGTGCTGTGGGTGCAGCAGGACTGCTTGTGCCAGCCCATGGATCTGGTTTCCTTGGCACATGCTTTGGCTTTACTGTGGAATCCCCTTCATTAGAGCAGAAAAGTGTGCACATATGAAATGTGACAGCATATTGTACCCCTTCTCAGTATTACTCTAATTCAGCTCTAGCCTGGAGCTTAAATTCACCTMCACTATCAGGCTTTCATTTACCTGCATGTCCTGAGCTGTGACGCATTTGCTGGCCCTTTATTTGCCTGTGCAGCTCTACCTTTTTTATAGGAAAAAATACAAGAGAGAGCTGATGCTACAACAGCAGTCTTCAGCTAAGCCCTTACAGAATTCACAGAGCTTGGAGGCACTAATTGTCCAAGTGATCTCATTAAAGAACTAAAGATAGCTGTGTGGACTTAAATGCTGTAATTTCAAGGGAAAGAATTCAAACCCAGTGAGGCCATGCAAACATTGATGAGCAAATGAGCCTCTGATGATATTGGCTGCAGAGACTCTTAGCTGTCCTCTTCTCCAACTAATTGCTTTGTCCCAATATAGGAATATTTCATTCCCTCCTGTCAATAATTTCTRCAGCTCATAAAGCAGGGTTCTTTTGAAATACTGAAGTGATTCTGGCAAGCACCACTGGTTTTASCCTTTATTTAAAAACCATCACTTGTTTTTGGATTGCCCCATTTCTGAAGTAGAAAATATCAAATCAATCACACAGTATTGTCTRTGTTAACTTTTTGAAAATTAATACTAGCCAGGTAGACCAAACTGGGGAAACTGAAACCTACAACTCACAGTTCCAGCTCTGTACCTGCAGGTTGTTATACTTTGTACCTTGCTTCTTGTAATACTTTTTTCTTTCCTTCCCAAAAGAATGGGTGTCTCCTAAAAACCTTGATATTGACTTTTCCGTTTTCAGACAGCTCTCTTCTTACCTTCCCAAACCCCTGCAACATAATTTTCTGTGCTGTTCTGAACTCCGTACAAGTCAATTGTAATCTTCTCTAATCCATCCTCTAGTAAGGACAGAACTCATTTGCCAAATCTGTGTGTAGTTATAATCTTTGAGACTTTCAGTCATCCTACAGCAATGATTTCAAGTTTCTTCTTTCACCTTTGTGATTATTATGGCCTCATCTTTSTAGGTACTTTCCAGTCTTGTCATTCCTCTCTCTTGTTAATATGAAACCTCATAAATCACGTGTCAAGCCCTCAGTTACCATGTCCTTTTTCATTCATTCTTTRTGCTGCTATGCTTTACCGATTGTTTTGTCTCCTTATCTGCGCATTTTTAAACACGGCTAAAACCGAGACGGCCAAGGTGTCCCCAAGTTCTGCTGGCAGCAGCCGCCTGTGCGGGCCGAGGGCTCGCCCTGCTGGTGTCCATATGGAAATGCAGTCCTGGAAACATCCGCGAGCACCGGGAAAAGTAAACCAGTGCTATTTTTAACAAGGGTGTCGAAAGTGTCTGTGGCTCAGAGCTGCTGTCTGCTTCATTTCGTAGCTAAGGTAATACAGTAATACATGGATGGAAGTATCAGCTGTTGGGTAATATCTGTTTGCACTTAGATTCATGGAAAATCTGCAAACAGAAGTCCAGGAGATGGAATTCATAAAGTTTTCAAAGGGTTTGAGCGTCATGAGAAAAGAAGACTTTGCGGCATGGTTGCTGTACTTCACTGATGAGGAAAACAATGAAATTTACTGGCAGAATGTGAAAGACAGAATCGAAGCAGGAGAGGTTGGTACCCAAATGCTTTGTTTTGCTTCCTTCTTTGTACGCACAGTTTTCATTTGAATGTTGTTATCTAATGAGGTAACCAGTTTCCTAATGAATTATTGCAGCCCTTGAATTTTATACAAATAAGAGTAATGGTAATTTGCGAACTGAGAAATACAAATATCAACAATGAGAAGGCAATCATATCTAAACACTAAGCCCCACCAGATTTAATGACATTGAGTAATTTAATAATAATTTAATGTATTATTCATTATATATTGTGTGAATTTTGTGATACTCTAGAACATCAGTTTGGAAGAATTCAAGACTTTTTGCAAGTTTACAAATAACCTGGAAGATTTTTCTATTGCCATGCAGATGTTTACTGTAGCCAATCGTCCTGTTAAGCGGGGTAAGTGCTGTACACCTTTCATATGGGCTTTTTAAAGGAAAGGAATTTATTTTTATTATGGAATTAATGTAAATTAGTTATTCCAAAGTACCACAGTGACGTCCAAAAATATTATACTGCTTTGTATTTGGACTTAGTTCTATTTCATAAAAAAATAATAATATTAAGTTTCCAAAATGTTCTCATTTATAAGTTCTAGTGTGCTGTCATATGTGGATTAATCAGAGCAGACTAAAGCATAATCATAAAATGGTTTGGGTTGGAAGGAACCTTTAAAGGTCATTTTTCTAAACCCTCTGGCATAGGCAGGGAAATCTGTCACTGGATCAGGTTGCTCAAATCCCCACCCAAACAATCCCTGAACACTTTCCATGATGGGACATCCATGACTTCGYACAGTTTCTTTCTTATGTCCAGCCCAAATCTACCTTCTTTCAGTTTGAAGGCATTTTATCCTGTCCTGTCACTACAGGCCTTGGTAAAACCTCTCTCCCYCTCTCTCTTATAAGCCCCATTGATACAGTGAAAATCCACAATAAGGTCTGCCCCAAGGTATCTCTTCTGCTGAACAACCCCAGCTCTCTTGGCCTTTGTTCACTGAATAGGTGCCCTATCCCTGTGGTAGTTTCTGTGGCCCTCCTCTGGACTCCATGTGCTGGGGACCCCARATCTGGGTGCAGCACTGCAGGTGGGATCTCACCARAGCAGAGCAGAGAGAGAGAATCCCCTCCCTCACTTTCTGACCACACTGCTACAGATGCAGCCCAGGATGCAGTTGGCTTTCTGGGATGTGAGCACACATTGATGGGTTGTGTCCAATTTTTCATCCATCAATATCTCCAGGTTTTTCTCCACAGGGCTGCTCTYAGTTCAAGTTCATTCTAGATGAGGAAGAATTTACTGAAACAATACATGCTGTAGTTACAGTTTGTAATAACAAAGTCTTTTCATTATAGTGAAACTAGTTTCTGAGGAAACTAAACAGTAGAAATCTCTTATTTTGCCTATCTTGCCTTCTCCATGTACTTATGTAGTATTATGCAATTATGTCTATCACTAAGAAACAAGGTAGTAAAGTGGGGTTTAAAATAAAAATTTGTAGGAGGGGCATTGCTTCCTTCCTATATAGGAGAAATAGGAGCAATGCAGCATAAGTTTCATAAATATAAAAATGCTTTTTATTCTAATTCTGAGATTGTTACTTAGTTGTTATACTTGAAGGACAACTCTTGTAAGTTATTTCAAAATAGCAACATAAAAAGTTCCTAAGGATATGTGATGAGTTATTAACATTCATTGAAATTAATATTTGATGGGCTTGCATGAAAAAAAGGTGAGAGGTGTGAGAAGACAGAAAGAAAAATATGTATTCTTGAAAGAGAAATGTTTGGATAGGATTTGAACCAAAGAAAACTGGGGGATTTAYAACTTGTGACTTTCATTACTGCTCTGTTWATGCACTGARCCCCACTGTGATCGAAAGCAGTCAGCTGCTGTGGTAACTCACAAATGTTACATGTCTAATCCTCTCCTGAATCTGAGTTCTTTGTCTTGTCGTTTGCATGTGTGTACATGTGTGTATTCACACACATATGAACATTTCTCTAAAAATAARACAATCTTTTAATTCTTCCTTTTATTCTAGACTTCTTTTTCTTCTAACTCTTCTAACTTCATCGCAACTCATCCTCTCTCTCTCTGATAAGGTGGCCCTTCTTGGTTTGAAGATTGTTGTGCTCCACTCTTGTAGAAGATCTTTCTCCTTTTTTCATGTTCTATTCAAAAAAAACTACAGTGCCATGTCTGGGTTTGCATTCAACTTTAAGAGTTGACACTGTTAAGATCTTTTCAAAGACAAAATTATGGCTACTATAAGCATCTCAGATTTTATGTCTTTTTCCAATTGTGGTATATCCTTTTACAGAAGGATTTTCAACTTAATTTTATTTAAACCAACTGTGAAATAATCARCTACATTTGATTTATGCCGGAATTTATGCAGGAATTGTTGAAAGAGACAAATATGAAAGCTAAGTCAGGAATGCTATTGCCTCTCAAAAGCTTCAGAACTAATTGTATTTATAGTGCTTTTTATAAACAGTGCTTGTTTATGAAAGCAGAAGCATGTTAATACTGTATTTATGATTTATTACTTCATTTGGACAATTTGCTGTAATAATCTGCAATACTGCTATACTTCAGTAATCTYTAGATCATTTTTGAAATTTACTCTTCCATGATGCCTTTGAAAATGCATCCAATTCATGTGTTGCAATTGTGCTTGCTAAAATAARCCATAATCCTTTCATTCTTATGGCCTTTCACTCATATGGTCTGCTGGTTTGTGGCAACCCCACACACTTCCTCATCTTCCTTGAGTCAGAACTCCAAATTCTGTGCATCACAAGATCAGAAGTGGAGATAGTAGGTATTTCTGTAGTGCACATGGTGGTRTAAAGAGAGGAGAAAAAGAAAGCTGAAGATAGAAGTACATCTCCAGAGAGGTATGGCAGCTTTTTCTGACACGAATCCTCATTAATGCTTCAACATCATTTAAGAGGAGGTAGCCAACTTCTCTAAAAACCAGAACTACAGATACATAAAGCCATGTGCTGCAAGCACTGCATTGACCATTTGATGGTCTGTGTTTCTGCAGAGTTGCTGAGGAKATTGTTGCATGAGGTAGAGTATATCATAACATACTACACTCTGAGGAGAAGAGTTTTCTTGCAGAATGAATTGTCACGAAACTGGTTTGAGATGAATGGTAAGGTTTTTTATGAGAGCATATTGAGGCAAACACCATTCCTATTAACAGGTTTCAGCTGCTTCTAGTGAAAAKTATTACTCGTACAGTTGCTTGAGAAGTATTGCATTGCAAAAGCTTATAATAAAATTAAGTGTTACGAAAGATGAAGCAAGCTCAAGAGCACCTGAACTGAGGTCTCGTAATAGTTTACTAGTTTACACATCCCAAATTCTCTTGTTAGRATACCCACGAGACATTGTAACTTGGACACAATCGTATTATTTATGTGCTTTTCATTTGCTTTACAAGTTCAGTCACCTRTGATGTAATACTATGTCTTTATTAGCCGAGTTCAAGAGAGCAGTGAAGGTGGCAACGGGACAGGATCTGTCAGACAATGTTTTGGATACCATCTTCAAGATTTTTGATCTAGATGGAGATGACTGCCTCAGCCACAGCGAATTTCTTGGTGTCCTGAGGAACCGAATGCACCGAGGTTTGAGGGTAACAAACTGACATAATTGTTTGTAAATACCACAGATCATTGCAACTACTATGTTGTAAAAGCTTTAGAAACACGGGTAGAGATAATGAAAAAGATACATATTTTAAACTGGGTAGTCCTTCGTGCATATGAATCTCGGAGGAGTGCTGCCACTAAGAACTTATTATTACACATGTGAGCTACAGAAAAAGCARCACATTATATATTGTATTTACACARTCTGGGAATAGGAGTCTTTTTTGTGTAAATGCTAAACACACTTTAATTTTATTAACAGGTACTGCAGCAGCAAGGCATTCAAGGTTTCTGGAAGTGTGTGAAAAAAGAAAGCATTAAAGGAGCCAAAGAAGTGTGGAAGCAGACGGGGAAAAGTCCTTTTTAAAGCAGTCCATTGTTCTTTTGCTTAAGTGGTTTTTCTTTRGGGGAGTTTGTCTGTCCTGTTTACATGATAACAGAATCAAAAATACTCTTTTTTTTTTGCTTTAGTTAAAGTTTAATTAACCCAGGCTCTAATGCAATAGTTTTATAATTGTTCCAGTGCAAYCAGTTTGGTTTGCAGAACCAAATCACTTTTGACCTCCACACAGAAGTGCTCTTGTTCTAGGGAATAGTACTGTTTACTGCTCTGTGGAGTCTGACCCTGCACTATAGGAGACAGGACACACAGAATTTAGTAATGGCCCCAGGCAGGAATGTCACAGCAATATAATCTCGTGTTGAAGGAATAGACATCATCTCAGTTAGCCACTAACACAGTAGCTCTTCTTCTCCAGCAAGGGCAAAATGCACAAGGCAAAATCACTTGCCCAACACATTTCAAATGAAGTTATCCTAAATCAAAAAGGAAAATTCACACCTCATTATGGGGATCTGCTCATGGTGCTGGTTCCTGGTGCTTCCTGGTGCTTGATTCCACCAGTTCTGCATGGATGTCTGGTTTGTCTATTTTCGTGTTGTTAATATTAAACTGGAAATACATGATGATAGGCTTGATACAGGCTTTAAAAGTTGCACATYGATCAGTGAGTGTGCATTGAGTGTCTCAGATCTCTTCCACATAGTATAAATGAGAAGAAAAGGATCCTCATTCTATCCAACACAGTGGTAGCTACAATTTGACTCATGACTATTTTGGTTTAATTGTATTGCAGAAGATGAATGTGTAGCAAATKTGTTTTATCTTGCTAAAGGTTGTGACAGGGAAAGCTGAAGTATCTCAGGAATTCAAGGTTATAGTAAGAAAGCGCTGAGGTAATAGTACGTCCAATAAAAAAACAAATAGAAGTGTTTATTATTCCAARTGCAAAGTTAGACCTAAGATCTTAAACACTGAAATGAGGAACAACTCAAGATTAACATTTAGCAATTACAGATGAACATTTTTTAGTAATAACATACAGTGCATCTTTGTGTGCATATTACATGTTTTGTCTTTCTAACAATACCAGGAGCCAATAGTCACAGGTCCAGATCACTCTTCCTAGTTGGCCACAATATACAGGAGATAGACTTACCTGTAAAGCTGTCAAGGCTTTTCCTCTTTCCCAYTCTCAGTTGTCTGACTTGTCTTGGCTGGGGTGAAAGCTTAAYCCTTCAAGACAGGTTTGTGGTGACAGAGGTAACAGATTCAAAAGGTGGGCTTGGGAAATGTCTCAAGAAACATAAGCAACAAATCTCACCACTCAGTGAGGAAATAACCATCCCGTTTTTGCATGACACCAGCTGTGTTCTAATCAAAGTTGTAGATAAGCTCAACATGTGGAGCTTGGTTATCATTTCTTTGGGTTTTGTGAGAAGARGGGAAATTTCCATGATAGCCAAGACATCAGAGCAGCTGTCACTCAGAGCAGGGACAGGAGAGCATGCATCAGGAAACCATAAAGATTCCATCTAAGGAATACTGAGATTACTGAGAATGTTTGATATGTCCATAGCTGTCAGACAGATTTGTGCTGAGGACAAGTCCTACTGCCCAAGCCTTGGCTCGGTGATCTCTCCTAGGGCACACAGTGAGAGACCAGCAAAACAACTCTTCCTCCATGGCCTCAGCTTGGAGCTTTAATCTAAAGGCTTAACAAGAAAGTGCTTATATTCCTGTCGTCTGTGGACATGCACCAAGAACAAGACCATGCTTTCAGGTATGTCCTGAGACTGTCTGGAAAATCAGGCACCAGTGACCATAAAGAATCCCTTTTCCCCCAGGAAACAATCCAGATGAATGAAACGGTGTGGAAACAATCCAAATGCCTCAGCCTCCTCCCCTTAAACTGAACTCCTGCAGTGCTGTGTGGGCAGCAGGATACCAGCTGGCTGGTTTACTTTGTGTGTCTGGAAATTGTTTGTTGCTTCTGGTGGTGGGAGTAAAGGTGGGGCAGTGGGACTGGCACCASAGTACGACAGCCAGCTGCACATCACCATCACCAAATTATCAAAAAAATTACACTATGGAAAAATTTATGTCACAAAAATGTGTGCGTTCGCCCAAAGTGTGCTTTGTGCCATCTCTGGCTTTAAAGGAAGACTACCTTTTATTTGTTGTTGTTAATACTTTGGCAAATAATTTTTACTTTGGAATGGAGATTATTCCCTAACATTTTATTCTGTGCAAAGTTAATAGGTTTATGATGTTTTTTATTGCTTTTGTGGTTTCTTTTGTTTACTAATTGCTTCCTTCTTACAAGCTGTTTGGTTTTCTTTTTGAGAARTCAAATCATTTAGCTTTAATGAATTTAGAAGTTTTAATTCCTCAGTGCTCATTTTGTATCTGGGTTTGTGCAATCAGCAGTATCTGCTTTCAGGGATTTCAAGTTTTATTTTTAGTGAAAGCTTTAGTGTCAAGTTCAGAGGAAAAGCAGAGATATGCTTGGTTTTTGTAAGAATTTTTTGTCTATAGTAAAAAGAAAAAAAAAAAGATTGATTAGGAATTATAATAGAGTTATGAATATTTTTCGGAAGTTATCCTGAAAATGCAGCAAGGAAGAAACCCTGTTTTAAAGGCCAGGGATGACTTGTCCATCAGGCTTGAAGAAACAGACTTTGTGCTTAATTTGTAGTTTATTGTTATTTGTCAACTAAAATGCTTTATAAAACAGTCCTAAAATAGTGTCTCATTTTTAGTATCTTAGATTGAAAGAACTGTTTATGTGTTTAGATAAACATTGGTTTATAAAGAATTCATCATAGTTTTAGTGTTCAATGTTTTAGTTCCTTTTAGTCACTGTATGATATTTGCAGTCTGTCAGCTTTATTCAACACAAGGTTTATGCCAGCTGCCAATCTAAACATATCAATTACAWCTTGTTTTAAGATTAGGAACTCTTCCTTTGAACAGAAATATATAGAAAAACTAAATAAAATTGATTTTTTTTAAATCTACCATATTATATCTGAATGTTACATGGAATAAAGATGAACACATTGCACATTGCAGAAGCCTCAAAAATTGATATTTTGAAGCCTCAAAAGCAAGTCACGACGTACAACTTCTTYACAAAATTTTAGTTGTTGTATCCCCATAATAACACTTTCTACACTTCTTTGTCTAAGATAATGTTTAAGAACAATTTATTCTTCGTTTCCAAAGGAAGTAAAGGCAAAAATGCAGTGTGATACACCAGAAGTAACAGAAACTCATTGGTTGTTTATAGAAATAAATTCTGGKGTCTCAATTTGTACAAGCCTCTTTCTAAAAGCAAAAGTCTCTCTGGATTCAAACCCAGTTGGCAGCTTTTAACAAAATCGGTAACAATGAGGGGTGTATATTCTGCATAGCAGACAAACAAGCCAGGCTATGGATTGTAGTTTYATGTCACCACACATGTCCAGTGCATAGAACAAAAAAAAAGTCACTGCCCAACAAAGGGCGAGAATGGGAACAACCCTATTGCTTAGAGGAAATAATATAAAATTCAGGTATTTTGACCATACTTTGACTAGAGCGTAGAATTGGATCAATAAATGTACATCGAAATACAGTGTGCTTCTCATTCTGGAGTTCTCACAGGAAAAGGCAAGCATGTCTTATGCCTTCAGTCACAGCTGGTTCAAGAAATTGTTCTAACGCAAGAAAAATCTTCAGTCACTCTTAACAGAAAGTATGTGCCCAAATGATACTGTGGTCATTATTASTGAGATTCAAGTTCACCCGACAACAGCTCCTCTAATGCATTTGATCACAAGGGAAGCATGAAGGCAGACACAGATGCACACTTCTGGTGCCCAACTGGCCACAGAATCTCCTCTTACAGAATCTGAAGATGTCACCCAACAAGAAGTCAGAAGCCCTTTGCAGGACAGAAAGCTTGTGAGATTTGAGCATTTGTAATACAAATCAGCAAACTAGTGTGTGTCTTTTCACTCTCCTGCTATTTGAATGTTCCCTGTTGTTGATTAAACAATTCCTAGTTGGTTCAGTARTAAACTGTGCAACATATGTGGAGACATATTTCCCATTAGGCTGGTATTGGCTTAGTTAGTAATGTTTTCAGTTCATTAACTGGAGTGCCCTAGCACAGAGCTCTGCTTGCTATCTTCGGCAGCCCGGCTGCTGCTCCTGCTGGAGCCTGCTCAGCAGTGCACCCACCTGCATGGGCTTGGACACAACACCTCATCTCCTGAGGAGCAAAAGGCCATGGTTTTTCTCATCCATGTACCCAATGTGAGTTTAGATTGGATACTAGGAAAAAATACGTAAAGGTTGTCAAGCACTGGAACAGGCTGCCCAAGGAAGCAGTTGTGTCACCACCCCTGGAGGTGCTGAAAAGATGTGTCARTGTGGCACCTGGGGACATGGTTTAGTGGTGGTAGACATGGCAGTGCTGCATTAATGATGGAACTTGACGATCCTAGAGGTCTTTGCCAACCTAAATGATTCCATGATTCTCTTCTCCCTCTGAAGGAGGGCAAGGCAGAGGGTGGCCTGCCTTTCCAGGCTGACCGAGTGGTGGAAGTAACACAGAAGGCAACAGGCTGTGGGAGGATGGACACAACACCTTGCAGAGCACTGTTTATCACTGGGTTTATTTTGGTCATGTTTCACGCATGCCAGATTTGAAAAGCTGGGAGGAGGGCTATTCCATAGGTAATTCAGTGGAATGTGTGGGAGTTTTTCTCATTGGATTTCAGTCACGAGCTCCCTGCTCTGAAACAGCTTTGGAAGGCCTGGCCTTTCTCCATGGGCTGCAAAGGGAGATGAGCCTCTYGGCTAAACCTGTAYTTTGTGAATGCCACCTGTCTTCATYGTCCTTCAGAGCCTCTGGATAMAAGTACTTMCATTTCACCATCTTTTGTTAAAYAGATCTGCTATWTCATGCGAAGGGTGAAAACTCTTAGAGAGGGAGCTGGTTTAAAACTTACAGGTTTGGTCCCAAAGGAAGTAGATTCTGAAATCAGAATCATCCAACAAGCACTTTCCTGGAGAAAGGATGTACTACAGAGGTGTTTTACTRCAACACTGTGCCTCAGGTCCACTGCTTGAGAAGAAATTTGTTGGTTTTAACATTACCCCAAGGAGCAMCTGTAGTTTTAAATCACCCCCAGGAAAACCAATTGTTTTCATTTAAGACTTGCCAATAAAGTGTTTTAAAATTCTCTTTTCCAAGATACTGATTTTTTTTTAATTATGTGGCCTCTTACTGTGTTTTAATGAACTTTGAAATTTGTACTATTGGAATGAGCAAACATTACTGAAGATATTGTGTACATCTCCTCAATAATGTACAGGAGGTAATTCCTAGAGCAATGGCAGATGAGTCACAGGGTAGACAATTATATTCACTATTGAAAAGAAGGGATACCAAAATGTGATGCTCTGCCACTCACCTTTAGTAAAGGAGACTAATTAAATGGTAAGTCCTAAAGTTAAAAGAAACAATGCTACTAGAAGAGACAAAATGCTGTTAGAATAAATGAAAAGTTTAGGAAATGTGAATACCACTCAACAAAAGGATGCTTGGTAAGCAAGGAATAAATCAATATGGCTGAAATTAGTTATTTTTAAATGCTGTTTGACCAAAAATGAGACTTCACAATTTATAAATTTGATCCAATGTGAACAAGGGCAACTAATCACTTGTAGTTGGTGTGTACAAGATTACATGATCTGTACCGGAATGTGAAGAGCAMATACTTAACACAATCTCGCTTGGTTTTATGTGTACATCAGAAACATGAGACCTCAAAAAAAATCATTTCTCTGTCATATTACAAGGAATAAATGAGACAAATTATCATTTCTGCATCAGTCTCCATCTAAGAGGTTGTGTTGCTTCTGCTTTGCATGTTCCTGAAATTTAAAATGCRCTACTTTGAGAGGGAAAAAATACAGAAGCAAAATGGAGATTAAATAGTTGTAGATTGTAAGGTCTAGATAGTGGAGAGAAGAATTCTGAGTAACTCAAGTGTTGCAGTGTCTTGTTCTACAACCAGCAAATATCAGGAAGACTGCCCTAGACTCTAACTGGTGCTGAGGCTGCCAAGGGAAATGTTTCACTTCTCTTACACATTTTTAATGTGACTAAAGCATGTGGGCAGGCAGAAATTGAGGTGTCGTGTGGAAATGGACAGAGAATGCCCTTTTTTTTTTTTTCCAATATTCAAGAGTCATGGGCTCTAGTGAAAGAGTGAAATGTGATGAGCAGCTCTTCCCACAATATGGCATTCTGAGTTGCTCYTCAGCTTCCCAGAGTCTGCTCCAAGTATCATCAGTTGTTCCTCCCCGCAAATGAGGCAGCAAAGTTTGCACAAGCTGCCCTGTGGCGGTTTGAAGCCAAGCAGGCACTGAGTGATTTTCAGCAGGGCTTCCTTCCATCCTGCTTGGCTTCTATTCAAGAAGTGGTTTCTTCTTAAGAGGCCCTTGTAGAGACGTCCGAGGTGTCTTTCAGAAGTGGAATAGGATAGTTCCTGCCAGGTGTGCCAAGGGGCTTCTAGTGCAGTGCAACTCAGTGGGGGCCACTGTCTGGGGATAAATAGTTCCCTCTCTGCCACCTCACAACCTTGGTATTGTCCTTGTTTAATGCAGTTTCACTTCAGTTCCTGTCACTGTGGGAACATTCCACGGAAATATTGCTGGGTAATACCTGGTCAAAAAGAGTTTGTCCTGCCCTAGGTTTATGCTGCTGCCACTGGCTTTCATCCTATCCAAGGTATCTGTCAGACCCAGGACTGAAACACTGGCCATGTCACAGCTTCCAGCTTTGCCAGCATCAGACTCCGTCCAAACCACGCATGGTGGCAGCTCAGTATAGACATGCTAGAAGGGGAAAATGTCAACATACACAGAGGTGTGATATATCCACTGATACCCCTGTGGTGAAACAAGTCAGCATCAGCAAGCAAGACTGGGATAGGGAGCATCGTGTTGGATCCCATCACATCTTTGCTAGCATAGTGAACTGTTTGTTAGCTAAGCCTATTTTTATTCATGGCTGTGCTCCTTAATCTTCATGTTAGGAATTGTTYTTACTGTGAAGGGTCATGGGTTTTTGTCAGGAAAGCTGGTGGAAGCATGGCCAAGAGGAGGGTCAGTGTACAGCTGCACATTTGGTAAAAGTTGTTTGTAGCTTTGCTTCCCAGGTCCAGATCCCTTCYCTTTAGATTCCAGGCTTGAGAATACACCATATATTCACTAAATACTCTGTTAAGAAACTAACACAGCAATTAAAAGCACATACAACTATCAAAGTAAGGCAAAATCAGGTACTTCTAAAGGCATTATTAATAAATACTATTTTGACACCASCCATTTAAATCCTTTCCCATTGTGTTGAGGCTAAGTGTTAACAGTCCCATGAGATCTTGAGGTAAAGCACATGCCAGCAGCTGTGGCATATTTTGGTACCCTGAAGAAACAGAATCATGGAATCATTAAGGTTGGAAAAGATCTTTAAGTTCATCAAGTCCAATTGCTAACCCAGCACTGCCATCTTCACTACTCAAGCATGTCGCCAAGTACCACAATTTATGAAGGTTAGAGGAACTGGAACACTTCAACTACATCTCTGATGTGCTAACCAGCACATCAGACCACAACTATCCTAGTCCTAGACTAAAATCCAAACTGCTCCATCCTTGTCAGTACTTCTCAAGAGTGACTAGACCCYGTAACMTGCTGCMKGTGTACCCAGTCACTCCTCCCTTGMCTTAYAGCTCTCTGTTAGGAACAGGGCAGACCAAGCTCTTATACCAGCCCTCTCCCTCTCCTGCAATCCCTTTCTTTTGCATTTTACAGCCCTTGCATTATGGCATACAAACATCCTGTTACCATACACAGCATACACAAGCATGCCCATGCACAAGGTGACCCCAGACTGATCTTCATCTTTCCATGGTCCCTGGGCATATCTCTGTGCTCCATACTTTGTACATCAGGGCCAGAGATTGCTGCTTCATTCCTCTGCTCTGATACCCAGTTGAATAYACATACACACACATTCCCACACAGGGGCTGCATCTTGGACATTTAGCCAGGGTGTCCCCTCCCTGTTAGCTGTTCATAGATCAGAGGATCACAGAATGGTTTGGGTTGGAAGGGACCTTAAAGATCATTTAATTTCAACCCCTCTGCCATGGGCAGGGACTTCCACTGGATCAGATCATGGCCCCATCCAGTCTGGCCTTGAACACTTCCAGGAATGGGACTGTAAAACGTTCACAGGCTTCTGGGTTCCCAGTCACTCATCTTAGTATTGGTTATGTCATCTCACCAACACGTGAGGATGAGAGGAAATGGCTTTAAGTTGCATCAGGGAAGGTTCAGATTAGGTATTTGAACAATTTTTTTTTCCACTCAAAGAGTAGCCAGGCATTGAAATAAATTGCGTAGGGAGGTGGTGAAGTCACTGGAACTGTTCCAGGGGAGTCTGGATGTGGCACTTGGGGATATGGTTTGGGGATGATTATGGTGGTGCTGTGTTGACAGTTGTTATGTTCAACATCTTTTCCAATGTTGATGATTCTATGATTCTGTGAATAGGCAAGGCCGTAGCAAC